TTTTTTTTTTTTTTTGTATTACATTACAAAATTTTTCAAAGTGTTTTACTATAATATATTGAATTATAATTTTCAATGGTTTTATACACAAATAAGTACTTACATTGAATTACAATTCTCATGAATTTCATGCAAAAAAATTAAAATTTTAATATTGAGTTAATGAGTCTATTTATGACTTTATGAAAAATGATCAATCTTTCACGTCATTTTATAATCACCATCGCACTTAATTTGTAAAAAAACAAAGTTGAGATTTATTTTGTTAATAAAAAAGAAAAAAAAAGACTTAATTTAAAAATTAAATACATACAGATAGAAGTTATTTTTAATTTTTATTAGATATTTAATTTGTATTTATATATTTTAATTTTTCATCTTCTTACATGTTAACATTAATAATCGATATCAGTTTATTTGTACAATAGTAATCATGACTTTATTTTCTTTTTTGAACTATGAAAATTTTGTTATCACATATACATTTTTATGAAAAATTTTGAAGAAGAGTCATTAATGTGACCAATATTTTTTTTTCATGGTATTTATCACATTTTTGTAAGCTTAAAAATTTAATTTTAAATTTTTTCAAAACAAATTATATTGGATTTTATAATTTCTTTTTTGTTAATTGTTATTGTTTCTGGAGTCACAATCCATATTGTCTAATTATTGTTATTACTATTGGTGATACACAGTTCACTTTCTATTGATGGTGTATTTGTGGGAGTATTTTTAAATGGATCAATAAAAAATTTATTCTACATTATCTCAATAAATTTTTTAAAAAATATTTATTAAATTTTCATTCCTTCACACCATTTTTAATATTAGGCCGCGCAACGCGCGGGTAACGTACTAGTTTTCTTTTCATAATTATGTTATTACCCTCATTAACTTTGTTGCTTCTTTATTTTTATGTACTACCAACACTTCCATTGTTTTTCTTAACATAGCAATATTGTAAAACTTTGATTAATACAAGGCTTGAAGTCAATTGACATTAACATAATTGAGCATCAAACATAAGCCTAAAATTAATTGTAACATGCCAAAGGAACACACATATCCTACTAATGAATTGCGTCTTTTATGTGACATGTAAATAAGCACAAGTCTTGGATGACATGTATAAAAGTATGTAAAATTAATATACCTGGGTCTAAAACAGACTTAAGGTTAGGTCGAGTCTCTTTTTCTGGTTGTCACATCAACAGGACCCAACTATTTTTGTTTGCATTGGAGAATACTATTTTTTAGACTAGGTCTATTATGTGTCATACAATTTTTTGTGATTGAACCCAAAGCATTGTGGATACTCTAAACCACAAAAAACTACAATCTGAAATACAAATTTGCACAAGATGGAATAAAATCAATATTTTACATAATTAGACCAATCTTCAATTATGGCGAAACTAACAAGATCACAAAAGATAAATCACTACAAAACTAAAACACACAAAACAATAATACAACACAAAGTCGAGGCTTAACCACGGAACAAACAAACTACACACCAAATACCAAACACAAAATACTTGAGGACTAAAGCGCTCTGATGGACAACGAAGCGCAGTTTGAGTGGTAAAAAGCTTCACCTTTGACCGATAGGTCATGTGTCGAGTCGCCGATGAGAGAAAGTGGGAACACTATTTGTCCTTTTTTAAAAAGCAATGAGAGAAAAAAATCCCTCTGATGTAACAAAACGATTGAGAGAATCAAGAGAAAACTCCTAATATATTTTATTTCAATCAAAACTCAACTTACTAAAACAATAGAAGATGAGTCTTTAAATATAACTCGTAACCCTAAGTAAATATCTCGCCAATAAGTAAATAACTCTAATAAAATAAATAAATTTCTAACAAATTTAGGATGCCCTTTATAATTTTTTTTTT